CATTAACAGCCTCTTGCACCTCATCCAGTCTGCTCTTAAGTCCTTCCAGAGATTGTTTTATTTCTGTATTCTCCCTTCTAAGTTGATCCTTCAGCTCTTGCGTATTTCTCTGTAGGTCTGTCAGCATGGTTATGACCTTTATTTTGAATTCTTTTTCAGGAAGATTGGTTAAATCTATCTCCCCAGGCTCCCTCTTGCAGACTGTCTGGGTAGTTCTGGACTGGATCAAATTCTTCTGCCTTTTCATGGCAATAGAGGTAGTTGTAGGCAGTTGGTGCATGTGTCAGATGGTAGAACAACGTCCCTTCCTGCGCCTTGCCCTCCTCCGCTGCCTGTGCCAGTTACCCGCACACAGGGAGTAGCTTCTGGTTTTATTTCCTGAGCTACCATGGGTGGGGCAGCCATCGGGGCATCCCAGTGCCCCGTGGAGAGAGAATCAGGTGCGCCAGGTGTGCTCTCCTGCAAGAATGGTGACCCTTTGAGCCCTGTCCTGGCTTCCTCTGTGCTGGGCTGCCGTGCGCCAGCCGGGCCTCTGAGTCTTGCCCAGGCAGCTTTGGAGGAGGCTCTGGGCAGCTGCTGTGGGTGTGGCTATTCTCAGGCAGCTCCCCTGCTGTGGTTGGGTGATGGGAGGGGGAATGGATGGGAGGCTGTTTATTGTCGTGAGAGGCTTCAGGGCTGCACTGCTGTCCAGGGGGGTAGTGCGCCTGGAGTTACCCGGGATTCCCAGCTTGCTGGGTCACGATTCTGTCCAGCTGTGAAGCCCCTGTCCCTTTAAGACTTTCAAAAAGCACTCTCTTTTCTTTTTTCCCAGGGGCACTGGCTGTGGGAACCCACTCGCAGGTTTTACTGGTCCATTTCTCTAATATCCAGTGCACCATGCACTGTGTGTCTGTGCTTCCGGTGCAGATGACTAGGGTTGGGTATTCAGGAGTCTTGGGCTCCTACTCCCTCCCTGCTGCGATTCCTCTCCTCCTGCTGGTGGGCTGGGGTGCGGGGCGTGCTCGGGTCCCACCGGGCCATGGCTTGTATCTTACCCCCTTTGTGAGGTGCTGAGTTCTCACAGATGTAGATGTAGCCTGACTGTTGTACTGTATCTTCTGGCCTCTCTTTTAGGAATAGTTGTATTTGTTGTATTTTCAAAAATATATAATGTTTTGGAAGGAGATTTCCGCTGCCCTACTCACACTGCCATCTTGGCTCCTCCCTGTCAGGTATTTTTTATGTGTATTTTTCTTTAACTGAAAAAGACAACTATTACTTCCTATTTTTACCTCTAACTGGCTGAAAATAACAATTAGGATGTAAAATATATAGTAGCTAAATTAAAAAGGAATACTGTATTATTAGTTAGGAATTGGTATTCTATAAAATAACCAAGAAAGAGAATACTGCCTCTGTTAACTTAGATTTTAGCACTAAGAACCAGTTTTTCATGTCTAACTACTCTCCCACTCCCATCAATCAAATCATCTATTTGTAAGTATTTTGACATTTTCTCTAAAAATACCTTTGCTGCCTCCACTCACCCTGAATTCTTCAGAATGTCAGAAACAGGATCACTTTCATTTGTCCTTAAATGGATCAGATCTACTGTGAACCACAGTATACCCAGGAAGGGTCAAAGCCACTTAGGTATGGAGTACTTTGGAAAGAAAGGCAACCAGGAAGCACAGTGCTTTTTTTTGAATTAATATAGTTGTATCCTGCTTTAAAAAAGCCCCATATAGAAAGATCCAAACTTAAAAGTTGAAAAATGAAGGTACATGCATTTGTTAATAGCAGAAATATCCTAGTGAGCACAAACAGTCTGGCTTACAAAACTGATTTTTAGAATGACTTAATAGTTACAGATCTACTCCTTTAAGGTATTTTGATCACATGCCCCTCTAGTTGGCAAGCACTTTCCTGTAAAGAAAGCTTTAAATGCTCAATTTCAAAATCTATGAAGCTCTAAGTCTTTTTGTGCTTAAGCTCTAAATCTCTCAACTCTGGAGCAATCTACAAATTAAAGGGGGAGACCAAGAAAGGGCAGATAAAAATGCTGTCCTAACTAGGTTTTTCTTTTAGTTTTGGAATCTTAAGCTTACATAGAATACAGTTTGGTCATATCCTTTCCCCTGAATACTGTTTGCTCTGCTTCTGTGGTGTATTATAATGGTGCAGGGAATGGACCGGCCTCTGTAGCGCACCTCAGAGCATCACTTAAAAGGTCACTAAATTTCTTGTCCCTGACACAACACAATCTACCTTCCCAGGGTTTGCTAGCATTTTTTTTGTGGGAAAAGGAATAACTGTAACTCTGAGACTTTTACCACTCCTATGCCTTTCCTTATCTCCTCTATCTCCAGCTATCTAATGGTTTCACAATAAATAAAACTATGGATATTTTTTAAAAACAAGTGAACCTGTAATACAAAACATTTGAAGTGGCATTTCTGCAATCCTACTTCTAGAAATCTATCCCAAAGATGCACAGGCAAATATATGAAAAGAGAATGCACAATGCTATTTCACTGCAGCACTACGTGTGTTAGCCTAACTGTAGACAATGCCCATTATGAGGGAACAAATTATAGCATAAACAATGAAGTACTACACAACTAAAAAAAGAAATGAGAAATATCACCATATCATCATGAATGATTTCCAGGACATGTAGTTAAACAAAAAAGCACAGTAAAGTATATATAGCTTTGTACCACCATTTGTCTGAGGGGAGAGTGTATGACAATATATATTGCTATCTATTTACCTAGATGTTTGGTCTTATTTTTAAAAATGGATGGAAAACCATACATTTTTAACAAATGGTTACTTATATGGATAGAGAACAAACAGGGTGAGAGGGAAAGGATAGAAGCTAGATTATCTAATACACCTTGTTTTATAACCTCTGGTACCATGTGCATCTTTACATAAATTAAAGATTAAAACAAATCCTGAAAAATAAGAAGTGAAATAAACAAACCTGGGTACTATGTTGGTGGCATAATTACACACAAAAAAATTATTTCAAGGGACTTGAAAACAGTGATCTGACTGTACACTTTTAATAGGATTGTTATTTTTTTTAATTTAATTATTTTTATTTTGGTATCATTAATCTACAATTACATGAGGAACATTATGTTTACTAGACTTCTCCCATCAGCAAGTCCTCCCCACAGACCCCATTACAGTCTCTGTCCATCAGTGTAGTAAGATGCTATAGAGTCACTACTTGTCTTCTCTGTGTTGTACAGCCCTCCCTGTGCTCCCCCATTTACATGCTAATCGTAATGCCCCCTTTCTTTCCCCCCCACCTTATCCCTCCCTTCCCACCCATCCTCCCCAGTCCCTTTCCCTTTGGTAACTGTTAGTCCATTCTTGAGTTCTGTGAATCTGCTGCTGTTTTGCTCCTTCAGTTTTTTCTTTGTTCTTATACTCCACATATGAATGAAATCATTTGGTACTTGTCTTTCTCCGCCTGGTTTATTTCACTGAGCATAATACCCTCTAGTTCCATCCATGTTGTTGCAAATGGTAGGATTTGTTTTCTTAATAGGATTATTTTTTCCCCCATTTTTAGAAATTTTATTGTATGAAAAGATGTAGATACCATGGTTATTCTAATAGGATATACCCTAAAGGACTAAAGAAACTCACAAAAAGTCTTAGGTCACTTTCATAAATTTTATTATTTTTGGTAGTTTTTATTATTCTGAGACTGCTCTGTGTATTATAGAATAAAGTTAAACAAGGCATTATGTTGGTGGCAGTAGGGGAGAATGCAGATGCAGATGTGAGACAAAAGAGGTTACATAAAATTCCTATAGTTCTGAACTTGGAGTTATCAGTATGAAAAAGCATAGTTATCTTAAAATACAAAATGAAACAAAAGACTTATTCCTAACTTTGTCCACCTTAAAGGTCTAGCAACAATGACTAATTACAGCAATGAGTAACCCTAGAAACCAGACTGGACCTAAATACCACTTCAGAGTGAAAAGAAACTAGGGCTCCTGGAGAAATGGCAGATACCAGGCCTAAGACAGAAATGTACAAGACAGCCTAGGCCATTTATCATAGCAAAAAGGAAGCTATGAAAGATGCATGGGGTAGTGTCCATTCAAAAAGGCTTTGATTGGGCAAAGATAGAACAACTTGAGTATAAGTAAGGGTAACAATGGATTGAAACACATAAAACATATTCAAATCCATAAGTTCAACATGAAACTCACAACAAATAAAAGATTCCCACATCACATTTGGGATGCTAGGGTACTATTTCTCTGGAGAACTGGTAATTAAAGGAAAAGAACTAAGCATTTAGCAACACGATGACAGCTCTTACCTATTAGAGCCTTACAGACAGCAGTAAAAGTTTACTTTAGCCTATCAGAGCTCTAAAATTCTCAATAGAAGTATAACTTTGCTTATTGAGTACCTCAATTTGCCAATATTACAACTTAAAGATAAAAAAGCACGAAAATTTAAAAAAAGAGTTATTATGCCTTAATTCACTTGTAGAATGAATAGTACATGGTTAATAGTGACAGAATTTGTCACCTTCGCATAAAAGGCAGGAAGCAACATTATGGTTCAAAATCAGGATGCTTAAGGTTTTTTTTTTAAGGTTTAGAAGTCATACAAAATAATTCTAAACACAACCTAAGACGTGTCACCTCAAGTCTTATGCTACATAAAAGCAACAGTATTTAATTTCAATTCCCAAATTTAATAAACTCACAAAGTTTAAGTACAGCTCACAAAAAAACAGAAGAAAAATATTTGTTATAATAATGCAGAAAAAATAACTATTATGTCAAAGGGCAGAGATAGTAGGCAGTTCCTTGTTTGTAATATTTGTCATTTTTCCACTTGAGCCCTTTTGTTATGACTGTAAAGTGATATGCTTTCTATTTTAGCCAAGGTAGCAACTTAACAATTTACAGGGACTCTGACAAAAATAGCTATTGTACTTCCAATCACATTGCTGATACTGATCAAGACCAACTTACCTTTCATCATCTTTAAAATACGGTTCCACAAATGCTTTCTGTTTTACTTTATCTTGCTTATCACCACGAGCTGTGAACAAAGCAAACATACCACAAACAAATGCAGAACTTACTTAGAAATAATTAACTGTTTTTTGGGAAAAAAATTAATATACCAAAGCTACTGTTTTATTGGGTTTCACACTCCAGGCTCCTGGGAAACTTACTTAAATTTTCTATAACTAAATTTTTCTTTCTTTGTTGTCTGCATAATGAGGAGGGTGCTGATCATTTTGCTTACCTCAGAATTACTGAAGAGATAAAATAGGCTGTCTTATGAAAGTATTTGACTTAAAAACTGTATATAAAAATGTATACACACACCACACATACACTATATAAAAGTATTTTATACTTTAAAAGAACTCCTCAGACGCCCATTATAATTTGGCTCCCAAACATAAGACATCCTTTCATATTTCCCTTATAATTCCATTGATTTTTACAGTGTGTCTTTAAGGTAGATTGTAACAAGGAAATAAAGAGATCAAACAATTTTATCAGAAAATTGATGACAAATAAGAAGTAGAGTTCATGGAACTGAATCCCAAGTTGTCTAGACTCAAGTAGCCACTGCTGTCATCTATTCAAATAATCAAAATTTACTAAGCATTGTGCTAAGTTCTGAACAAGAGAAACCAGGTCTCCTGTCTTCACGGAATTTACAGCACAGCGAGGGAAACCACAACTAAGCAAGCAGACAGTGAGGCTCCACTAAGGAAGGACATGCAAGGTGGTAACTGATGAAGACAAAGAAGTCAACCACAAGAAGAGGTGGGAGAGTGGCATGTTTTAGGTAAAGGTCCTGAAATAGGTAAAAGTGTGTTGTGCTGTAAGAACCAGGAGTAGCCCAGTGTGGCAGACACTTAGTCCAAGTGCTGGGGAACATGAGGCTAACAAGGTGGGTAGGCACCAGATCACAACGGGCCTGGAGGCCAGAAGAGGAATCTGAAGGTTATTTTAAGAGCAATCGGAAGTCACTGCAGACTTTTTAAAAGAATCTACTTTATTGAGGTAAAATTTACATACAAAATAGACTGGTTTTATTGGAGACAAATATATTCTTCAGTTTAACTGCTATGCAAATCAAGACAGAACAGTTCCATCGCCCCTGACAGTTTCCTCCTATTGCTGTTGCTCATGCACAAGAATGTTCTCTCATGTCTTTCCCCACGCTCAAAATCACTGATTAATTTCTTTCCTATAGCTTAGTGATGCCTGTTCCAGAACATTTTATTCCACTGTATCAATGGAATCACATAGTATGTGTTCTTTTTCATCTTCTCCATTTTTTTGGGTCAAGAGGTCCTGGAGATTCATCACTGTTGAATCTAATAGTTCCCTCCTTTTTGTTGGCAAGTAGTATTCCATGATATGAGTTTATCACAATCCATACTTAGTCACCTGGTGATGGAAATTTTAGTTGTTTCCAGTTTTGAGCTACTATAAATAGCACTGCTATGGACATTCTTGAACAGATCATTCTGTGAACATGTTCTCATTTTTCTTGGTTATATACCTGGGAGTGCAAGTGCTGGGCCCTAAGACAGGTGTATACTTAACTTAAAAAAAAACCTGACAAACCTCAGTAAAGCTGTTAAAACCCTGAACTGCAGTCCACATACAATTTTATACTGCTGATAGCAACATATGAGAATTCCTGTTGCTCTTCAACCTTGCTAATGCTAGATACTACCAGTCTTTTTAACTGTTGCAGTGGGTATGAAGTGGTATCTCAGTCTCTCATGTCCCTTAATGTTGAAAATCTGTACATATGCCTATTGGCTATTCAAATATCTTCTTTTTATTGAAGGGTTTTTAAGCAAGAAGATAATATACTCCAATTTACATGTAAAATAAGTCACTTTTGATTCCCTGTAGTGAATGGATTGGAGAGGAGAAATAACTGATAAAAAATACCAGTTAGGAGGTTTGCAATAGAAGAGGTAGGGGTAAGAGTGGTTTAGACTAAGGTGGTGGCTACAGAGATGGAGAGAGATATGAAATATATTTTGGAAACTCCCGTTTCCTTTGCTGGTTCTTTTTTGTTTCTCTGACTTTTAAGTTGCCATACTCCAGAGGTCAGAACTTGAAATGCTTCTCTTTTCTATTTCTATTTAATACTTGGGTGATGTCACTCAACTTCACAGCTTGAGGCTCAAGCTACTTGCTGTTGGCCTCCTGTCCCCTAAATCATTTTATTTTGGATTTCTTGCCCGAACTCACACATATCAACTGCCTACTAAACACCTCCACTTGAATGCTATGTAAGTATTAATGTGTCCAGAACTGAGCTTTTGATATCCCCTTGAAACTTGCTCCTCCCTATGAAAGAGACTAGGTAGAACTTTGTGATATGGGGGTCAAGAAATGAAATAAATGGGCAGTAAGTCTTCCATTATATGCCTGGGTGACTGGGAAGAATACAGTCTAAAAGGTCATTTGATAGGAGATAAATGGAACTTGGTTTAGGTACATTAAGCTTAAGCTGTTGAAGACACACAAAAGTAGCAATCCCAAGAAATGTAGGACAAGGATTCATCAGGGAAGTCAACTAGACACAAACTTGCAGTTCTGTTTTCAGAGGTGGTTAATAAAAGTAATAAAAGCATGAGAGAAAATGAGATGTGAGGAAGAAAAACAGACTTAGGGATACTCCATGAAAAAAGCTGCCAGAGATCGAAATAACAGAGCAATACTGCCACAAAAGCTAAGTGAGAAGACATTTTGGGATGGTCAGTGTGAAATATAACTTTAAGAAGAAAGGACAGAAATTAATTACAATCTTGTAAAAAGATACCCCCTTCCACCCTTTTTTAAAGTGAAACCAATTTGCAAAAGGTTCATACTGGAAAAAAAGTGAATTGAACAGTTATAAATTTTTATCACAAAGTTGCTGGAGAGCAAGTGTTTGCCACAGACTGAGCAAGCAAAGCCTGCTGTTCTGTACCTCTGGCTAGGGTCTCATTCACTTCGAGCTAATAAGGACTGTCATTTAAAAAAACTGTTAGAAGCAAAAGGAAAACAATCAATACAGACTATACCATAGCAGAAGGTTAAAATAACCTTTGCACTAGATTAAAAATTCTGTCTTCCTGACAGTAAGAAAATGAGATACTTAGCAAGAATTTTAGCTTTCAGTTCATATTATCTACATATAAGTTCACTTACTGTATTCGTTTGATAGCAAGTTTTAAGTTACTACTTCTACTGAAATGAATCTTAAGACTGATATGTGTACATGGTTACATCAGGTAAGCATTCAAGCAATGAATCTGAACTTTCTGCAAAATGTTCTCCATTCACTCTAATACAATGATTAATTTATTACTTAACAAAGAAGTTTCTCAAAACTCTTATGACTTTTGTGTATGTTGTAAAGAAATTTATAGTATTGAATCAAGATTAGTTTTTTAGTTTCAGTGAATATTTTATGATTACATAAGACATTAACAAAAGAGGAAGCTAAAAGGTACAGAGGAACCCTCTGAACCATTATTTATAACTCTTTTATTGTCTGAAATTCTCTCAAACCAAACAAAGCAAAACAAAACTCAAAAAACCTGAAAAAGAAATTGATACAAGAAACATAAAACTTAATTGTTAAATGCCTCATCAAGCCTCTGTTAATTTGATAACAAGTTACTGAACTCAGTGTAACTAAGAAGCCATAATTAGAAAGAAAATAGCCATACTGTTTGGTGTCTTTGTGGTAGCTGACAATTCCTCTTCTTCTGCTACTTGGAAGAAACCATCTGCCAAACAGGATTCATATTCTTCATGTGTTGTCCGATCAAACATATCTTCCAAGCTGTCATTCAATTTTCTTTCTCCATCTATGTAGAAGAGCATTGGCTTAGGGCAACAAGCATACTTTTTGCTTTCTACCTAGACCAACATGAAACTTGGGAGTAACTGCCACAGAGTAATTCAGATGTGTGTGAGGCAAGAATAAACCCCCAAGTGTGGGTAGTTACTATGCATTTACAAAATCTTTATGTTTTGGCTTTAAATGTCCTTTGCTCATGTGAAAAGAATGCTAGTTTTTGTTACTGTCATTACAAACATCAAAAATCTTTTTCTCTTAGCAGCTCATGTATGATTCATACTAAATCAAAAGGAGTCCTACGAAAGAAACTGGGAGGAATAGAAAAGATATAATGAGTGATAAAAAATACTAACTTTAAGTAAAATGTACATAAATAACTGACATTAAAATATCTATAGAATGTTGCTCACCTGCTTAATTTTCTAGGGTGGTAGCAAAAAAAGTATTTTCTTGCATCATCATTAATACTTGGTACTTCAGCGGTGATACAGGTAATGAAATCAGTTCTGTGTTTGATATGCAAAGTGCTAAATTTATCTTCAGAGTGTTAACTACATTTCCCATTATATACTCACATTTTAAAAACCACCAGAGTTTATTAAAAACCAAACAGATCTAACTGGCTAACAAATATGAGAGAACAGCAGCCTGCTGAGATTATTCTCTTTAAAATAACAACTACTTCCCTAATCCATGGTGCCGCAGCACCCTTACCCCGACTTACCCTTCTCCAGCACTTACCATCATCTTTCATACCATCTATTTGCTTGTTCTTCCCTACTAGAATGTAAGTTCTATGAGGTGGGACTTTGGTTCTGTTTACTCATTATCTCTAGTTATGGAACACTTCTTGGTACAGAATTGCAGATTGATTATTTATTGAATGATTAAACATGTTTTCATTTTGAGGGTCAAATTTGTAAATAATATATAACTTCTATGTCCCAGGCAGTGTGTTAGGCATTCCCAAAGCATTCTGCATATGCTGTTAGTAAATCACAGTGTTAAGTTGCTGACTTATTTTTTCATTGGTTTAACTTCTGACTGTGAAATACATGAGGATAGCCTATATCCTTACTGATCTTTCTATGACAGCCATCAGTAAGTCTATCACAGAGTAGGGATATAAAAAGCATATTTTAAGTAGAAATGTTAGCAGTAATTACAGGTAGTTTTTACTGGTATGTTTCATCTTTAACCAATTCTAAGTATTAAAAAGGCCCATTTTATGGGTAAAATGTGCAGACTGCTTTTTCCAAAAATGACCTCCAGAATAGCTCCTACCCCAGGTGCTCTTCTTACAATGTGACCTTGACATTCCTCTCACTGAGTGGTGAGGGCTGTGTTCACTTGCTTTGAATCTGGGCAGGTCTTTGTGAAACTATGCAACTTCTGAAATCAGATCATAACAATGCCATGTATTTCTGCCTTGTTCTTTTGGGATGCTCACTCTGGGAATCTAGTCTCTATCTGATCAGCAAGCTCAAAGTAGCCTGTGTGGAAAGATCACATGGAGAAGTCCTAAGACTGAATGAGGAGAGAGATGTCAAGCCACCCTCAGCTGTCTAGCCCTCTGCTCCACCATCTACCTATAATTGTGGAGACTCTGAGACAGAACCACACAGCCAAGCCCTTCTGAACTCCTGAGCCATAGAAACTACTTAAGGAAAAATGATTGTTGTTCTAATCTTTTAAGTTATTGGAGTGATTATTATATGGCAATAGTATTCACAATACCATATTTAGCCCAAATTATCTCTACTCATTAGTTCAAGTCCTGATCTCATTCCCACATGATACTTGCTTCAAATATATTTGGGAAACCACCACTTTCTCTGACCAAATAGATACAATTGAAGCCTAAGTAGTTATACTTTAGTTTTTCCCTTTTCTACAGAAATGAGAACATTATCAGGAGCTGGTACCAGGGACAAAATAATTTTAAAGGCATAGTATCTTCTAAAGAAGAAAGTTACTTCAGTGTCATTCACTATAAAAAGACACTAAATTGCTGTTAAAGTTTTTTAATAGGTACTGTCCTCTCAATCTAGGCAGCCAGTTACTTGATTAAATGGATAGTTTCTCATCCTAAACAAAGAATTAAGGCAAAGACTATTTAAAATTTCTCTCACTTAACTGCATTAGGGCAGCAAGAAATAAGGTATTTCAAAAGAAGGAAGGACAAAGCTGGCTGCTTTATTTCTTGGCCCTGAGCAGGTAGAATATATTCTGGATGCAGAAGGTAGGGAATGCATATGCTGTCTGAATGTCCACAGTTTCTAACAGACGGTCACAGGGAAAATGTCTCTGCTTTTAGCCCTGCATCTTCATGTGGCAGGTCTTAACCCTTCAGTACATAAGGGTGACTAATGACAACTATTCCCAGTCCAGTTGATCTCACGTCATATGCCTCCCATAGTTAGAAATGCTGCTAAGGTGGAGCCAACTAAATTCATTCCATTGTTCCCTCCTCTTTTGGAAAATTAAGGCTTTAGATAAAGAATCAGTAGCTTCTCATTACAAAGGTCTGTAGATCCTTAATTTGGCCAAACACTCTTTTCTACAGAAGCAGAATACAGCAGAATAACTCAGAATATAAATATCATTTTAGTATCTGCTAATTTGCAAATCTATATGAATACTTCTCAGTAGAACCCCTCCATCTTATATCAAATCACTAGAAATTCTTATTGCTAAAACAGAACTCTCAATATTCCCTTTTATAAAAAAATTATCAAAACCAGGGATCAGCAAATTTTGTCTTAAAGAGTCAGACAGTAAATATTTTTAGCTTGTGGGCCGATAAGGTTTCTGCAGCAACTATTCAACTCTGCTGTTGTATTGCACAAGGAGCCTCAGGCAATACATACATGAGTGAGGCTGTGTTCTAATAAAATTTTAATTACAAAACTGGCAGTTGGCTGTGGTTTGCTGACTCCTGGGAACAATTTTGAATTCTTCCTGAAATAAAAATTATTTTTGCTAAAGATTTTTTCCCCTGAAATATTGAAACTGAGCTTTACTAAGAGAAATCTAATAGCATTAGAACAGGAAAAAAACCCTTGTTTATGGTGAAGAGATCACCTGTGCTCATAGTACACTGTAGATAGTTTATAGTACAATCAACTACGAAATTCCCCCTATATTTTTATTAAAATTAAAAAAAAATCAAATCTTACGTGGACTTTTTTCTCCCTTCTGCTCTTGCTTCTTCATTTTTAAAAGCACAGTTTCACTAACCAACGTACAGTCCATGTCCACTGTCTCTCCTCCTGCTAATCTTGACTGACTGCCATCCTGAGTATTTGAAAATTCGAAATTTTAACAATTATCTCTTTACGGCCTCATACTTCTTAAAAAAATCTGGTAAAATACACATAACATAAATTTAACATTTTAACCATTTTTAAAGTGTATGCTTCATTAGCATTAAGTTATATTTACTTTTACCCTTTAGGAATATAGGCAGATTTAATTGACAGGTAAGCATTTTAGCTTCAATATACAAGCATCTTCTCTCAAGCCTAGGAACAGGACAGCTGCAAGAGAAGAGACTATGTACCACTGAATCCCCTTGAGCCTCTCCCTTTCTTCTCCAATCTGCCTCACAATAAATGAGCATCAGTGTATACAAAGAACAAGTTAATAAGTTATATTTCTTGAAATAGATTAACAACTGTTAGTACTTTATTAATATGCTAAGTGGAAGAGGATGTCTCAAACTATACAGAACCTCAATAAACGCCAGAAGTTATTTCCACTATGAATTTTAATTAAAAAATAAAAACCCCCAACAGTACTTAAAAAAAGGGCCAACTCGGAAAAATGAACTTTTTCCTTAATGTTACGTTATTTACAAAGCTAATCAAGGCATATGATGGACTATTTTGATAAAAAATAAAATTATTTAAAATATGTAACTAGCATTTGACATTATTTTAAAACTGTACTAATATTTTTCAGCAAAGGTCTTTAAAGTCAGAAAATGTTATTAGCCTTTCAAAAATACCATAAAATTGGGAGAATAAGCATTTTTATTCTTTGTTTTCTGAACATACAAAGCAGGTTTTAAGAGGTATGAAATTATCTCAAGGTTACAGAGTGAATCAGAAGAGGAGGGTGATTAATAACTCACTAGAATAACCACATGGCCTTTGGTTTTACTTTCTAACTTACCTTTGTATCTATTACTGTAATGTCCATTTTATACTGAGAAAGGTCTGCTCCTGGATCTATACTCCACTGGATATTTTCAAAGGATACATCTTAGGTAAGGAGAAAAACAATACACAATTAAAACAGATTTTAAAAATTCTCATCTCTTGAAAACATCACGGGATCCACAGGATGGAAGAAGTTTTGCAAATCATTGTCTGGTAAAGGACTTTTTTTCCAGGATAGATAAAGAACTCTCACAATTCAACAGTAACTAAGACAAATACCCCAACTGAAACTGAGCAAAGACTGAATAGACACTCCTTCAAAGAAGATAAACAAATGGTCAACAAGCACATGAAAAGATATTCAACATTAGTCATCAGGGAAAGGCAAACCAAAATCACAATGAGTTACCACTGCAAGCCCAACAGATTACTAGAATAACAAAATGACAAGATCATAACAAGTGTTGGTAAGGATGTGGAGAAATCAGAACCCTCATAGGCTGCTGCTGGTAATGTGAAATGATGCAGCTGCCTTGGAAAAGTTAGATCGTTCCTCAGAAAGCTAAACACAGAAATTGCATATAGCCCAGCAATTCTCCTATGATTAACTCAAGAAAAATGAAAACACAGATCCACACAAAACTGCACATCAACGATCCTGGCAGCATTATTCATAATAGTAAAAAAAAGTGGAATAGTGAAAAGTCACAGAAGATCATATATTGCATAATTCCATCTATATGAAAATTCTGAAACAGGCACATCCATAAAGACAGAAAATAGATTAGCACTGCCTAGGATTGGGAGAGAAGGGAGAGGAATGGATAATGGTTGATAATGGGTACTGTTCTTCTTGGGGTGATGAAATGTTCTGAACTTACACTATAGGCTACAAAACTCTGGGAGTATACCAAAACCTTTGAATTGTACACTTAAATGGGTGATTTTTAGCTCAATGAAATTTTTTCAAAAAAGTTAAAATCCTAACATTGTTTGGAGAGGTTCTCAATGTATGTAGATATTCACGACAACTACATACAGTTCCATAACATAAAGTAGTATAATATTAACCCTAAGTAGACTGTGAAAGGTTAAGTGGGTATACTGTAATCCCTAGAGCAACCATAGAGAAAAAAAGCCAATAAAAGAATCAGGAGCAAGAATGGAAAAAATGTTTTCATACAGAGACTGAAACTTCCAACAACAAAAGAATGTGCTTCAGGAAAAAAGGAAAATAAACCCAGAATGAAGAAGTAACTTTTTAATGAAGAAGGAAAGAAAAAAATACTGCATAGGAAGCACAGAAATATTTGGCTAAAAAGCCAAACACACTCCTTTTAACATAGCAAAATTATGAAAAGATTAATATACATATTAGAGCAAACTGTTCTTAAACAAGTAGTTAAAAAAAAACATATATACGTATATATGCATGTTTATAGACACACATGTAAATGCAAATAAAAAGACAGGCTACCTGTGGGGTGAGAAACAAGATTTGGATGATGAAAATTTGACTTTATGTATTATAAAATTATATAGTTTATATTTGTTAAAGCTTTGGTAAAGAAATTAAGAAATAACTATATAAAATCAGTGAATCCATATAACATTTCCTATAAAAGTGAGTATTAAAGATCTTAATCCATTTTTTGTTAAGCTATAAGGGCAGGAACATTACGTGTAAAATGAAACCACTAAGAATCATCCTATACACAAGAAAGAATAAGATATTTTTTCCAAAACAATTCTATCCAAAGAATGTAGATAATATATTACATACAACACTCAACTGGAAGTCATTTAAATAGTGGAAATACTATTTATAGTGTACATACTTTGGTTGTTTTGTTGAGACTTTGTTTTAGCAATTCTACATGGATTTAACTGAACAACTGATGCAAGTTCACATGCTCCACGGACTGACCTGGTTATTTTTACTGGCTCATGAGAACCAGTGCCCTAAAACAAAAAGAATTATTAGCATCTAGGTGAAATCACAACCAACAATTTTAATCAAAATCTTTGAACACTTATCACAAACCTTCAAGTCCTCGAAATGACTCTCTGTCTCCAAACTTTCATGTGGATGTAGAGGAATTTTAAAGATAGGATTTTCTTCCTTTATTTGTAATGGTGTTTTATTGTCTGGAGAGGATTTACTCAAGGACTGGAGGATGTACTCCTGTAAACAGGGCTTCTCTGGGGAATCTCTGGTTAGCACACAGCTCCCACTCAGGGTCTTACGGCTTGAAGAGGGGCCCTTTGGAATGGGCTTCAACGCCTCCGTGAGAGTCACCTGCCTAAATCTGATTTTAGAGGTCTCACTTCCTTGGCTTTTCTCTTGACGCTGAACAGCTGAAAATCGATCAGACAGATCCAGAGGTTTATCCATCACATGGTCTCCATTCATGGAAGAAAGATTATCCAGCAGAAAAGGAAAAGCATTTTCTTTATCAAAAGAGGCTTGTGGATAGTTTACTTCATCTTCACTTTCCTCCTCAATTTTCCTTTTGGACGGTCTGCCTCCCAATGGTTTCAGGGCTACCACATGGCTCTCTCTATCAGTAATAGCATCTTTAATGTGATCCACACTATCCTGTTCACTTATGGATTCACTTACATTTTTATTTTTAAGCATCTGCTTGTTAGAAGATGACTGACTAATGATCTTGTTCACTTCAGACCCAAGATTGTGATGTGTGAAAAGAGCACTATCTTCAGATTTTGATCTAGTTTTCTCTGATCTAGAATTAGATGTGTTGTTGAAAGGCAGTGTTTTCAGATGGTTTTTTTTCTCAGTCTCTAAAAGAGAAGGAGACAAACTTGTACTCAGAGCTATACTACTTTTCACATTAGAGGTAGCTCCAAATACAGGGGATGATACCCGAGTCGTCAATTCTTCTCGAGGAGGAGTCTTTGATTCAGAATCTGAAAACCTAAAAAAATAAAGAGTGGTAAAAAACACTTTTCTACTACGGAAGCAAAATAAAAAAGAAAAGCATAATGAGAAGACTCATGCTAATAACGAATTATTAACAGTAAGGTCTTATCCACGTATTAAAGGCAGATGACTAATCAGTGTTAAATACTGGCTTCCCTTCATTTGACAAAGAGAGGAAAGTAATACCATCTCAATAACATATTTCTATCTACAAATATTTTCTTTAGTAATTTAAATAACTTCACTATATAAGAACATTGTACTTTAATAAATTGCACTGGGGATCCAAATTCTTTTGTTGTTAGGAGATCTTGTCATAAGTAACTTCAAAAAACAAAATTCTTAAATACTAAAGAATGAAATGTAACTTAAGACCCAGCCTGCCTCTGGCTCAAGAAATGGCTGTGGTAGTAGAAAGAGTCATCAGGTTTGAGTATGAAGATGTGGAATGGGTAAGAGCTCTGGCTCTAGTACTGAACAGTTTTGCAGCCTTAAACCAGACATTTACCTCTGTGGAGCCGCATTTTTGACAATTGTAAAAAACAATAGGAGTAATAAAACCTACTTCAATGAGTTATAAGAATGACAAACTGAATATGATACATGTATTTAAAACTGAAGCTCCTTTTAAAAAGCAAAATGCTGTACAGTTTAGATGGTTCAAATGGTAAATTTTATGCATATTTTACAATAAAAAAATTTTTTAAAGCCAAAATGCTACATAAATATAGGTATTATTAATTAATGGATGTTCCAAAATTAGTAAAAACAATATGCAACAAAACAGTGGAAGTTCATCCAAGCTTAAAGATGCCTTTTACACAATATCCAGTTTTTGGAAATACAAATCTAGGAGGGATGACTAGTTCTTTAAAGGGAATAGGGCTGGGAATTCTTAAACACTGCTTAAGTACAGAAAGAATCAAAATATAATATCCATCTTTCTACAGTAATGCAAAAAGCCCTCAACCGGTCATTAGCTGGGGAAAATATTTTTTAAAATAAAAATTAAAACAACCACTACAATAAGTTCCACATATTAAACTATTTCTCTCTGGCAGTAGAAAAGAAATAGTTTTATTATATGGAACTGATTGTAATGGGATCTCACCAGTAGTTGATAAGTTTCTACCAAAGTGCTCCAAATTACCTTAAACTGTCTTCACTATTTCTTCTAGATTCTTCGAAAGGTGGTTTCTTGTAATCTCCTTCTAGACAGTGGTAGAGCTCATCACAAAGAGGGCTCACAAGACCTTGAGATTTCTTCAATAGTAAAAGGTAAAGGACATAAATACCATGGAAGATTATTTGTTCTAAAAAGGGGTGAAATTCTGATACATGCTAGGATGCGGATGAACCTCAAAAACAGGTTAAGTGAAAGAAGCCACATAATGTATATGATTCCTTTTATATGAATTACTTTTGTTCATAAGACCAGAAAGGAGACTGGTGGTTGCCAGGGGCAGTGGTTAGTGGGGAATGAGCACTGAATATTTAACAAGTGTAAGTATGGGTTTTATTTTGGGTGATGACAATGCTTTGGAAGCAGAGGTGCTAGTTACGTAATACTGTGAAGGTACTAAATGGCACTGAATTGTACACTTTAAAACGATTAATTTTATTATGTGCATTTCACCACCACAACAAAAAAAGTGAAGCACATTTTAAATTTAAAGGGAGAAAAGCATCAATATTTTACTGTTTTACATAAATACATTCTATTACTGGTATATAAAATTTCAATTCCAAAAAACATTCAGATGAGAGGAAGGGAACAGAGATGATTATTTATACTGACAGGAGATGGATTTAAAAGGATCTTTTAGAGAGCAGTTCTTCTCAAACTTTAATATGCTTAACAAGTCAACTGAAGATCTTACTAAAACACAAATTAAAATTCTCTTTCAGTAGGTCTGGGGCGGGGTCTGACATTCTCTCTCTCTAACAAACTTCATTCAAAGTGATGCAGGCACTGTCGGTCTGTGGGTCACACTTTGAGCAGCAAGTCTTTAGAGATCAGCTCCCTTAATATATTTGGTGACTAAACTACTGATTTGCCAGGTTTATATGTAGGAGGAAATTAGAAACCATTAAAACACATTAAAGGTTCAAGCTTAAAAACTACCCATTCTCAACTGAAGATAGATTTAAAAGTAGAAAAAAGTTCAAATGTAATGAAAAACTAATGGAATTTTTAGAAATTCAACAGCAAGACAATTTTATAAGCGCACATATGCATTTACTGACGAAAGCAAAGGAATATTATTTTAAAGCTGTATCAAAATGAAACTTCCTTAAGATTGAAGAATTCAAGTTTTCTATTTTTAGGGATCAAGTTAAGAAAAAAAAAGGTAGATATGCCTGATATAAGGATTACTAAAATAAAAGAAAATCACAGGGTCAATTTCTAACCCATTCTCTAAAAATTAGGTCTAATTGGATTGGCACTTGTAAGGGCAAAGAACTAAAGCATTTATTTTGGTCCTAAGAGTTCAGCCTGTTTTCCAAATCAAACTCCAGTTTACAGGATGGTGCAAAGATTCAACAAATTCTGGATTTTTTAAGGTTTAAGGTTTAAGTTTTCTCTTAAATGGAACAAGGTTGGATAGGGAGGAGAGAAAGAATAGGGAAGAGAGTTGATTAAACTCTCTAAGCAATCAGTGCTTCCCTAAATTTTGATTCAACCTATAACATGTATCTCCAAAATACGAGACTGTAGTTTTGAGACTGCCTGGGGTGGATAATAAAAATGGGCCTCTTTAGCCACATCAATTTTTTTCTAGGCTCTTAGCTAATGATCTTTGGGTAAAATTAATTTTCTCTTGCTCAATTCTCTAAAAAACAGACCTACAAGGATACCACTTAATTCATACTATCACCAAACACAATTACTTACAGCTTCTTCTTGAACACTAAGTCCAATTGTTTCAGCAACAACTGTAACTAAATTAAAAGGTGACTTATCAGTGGGATAACTGTTCGTTCCATGTGTTTCTAAGAAAGAAGGAAAGAAAGAAAAAAGCCAATTATACAATTGTAGAAACTAGATGTATAAAAAAATTAAAAAGAAAGGAAAGAAAGAGACTTGGAGAACCACTTTACAAGGCCCTGGAGAATTTTTAAAATTCTGTACAGAAGTCCAAAATACCTATTATAAGTGGCAATAAGTTGCAGGTATCTAGCATTTACACTTGCCAGACTTTTTCAGCTAAGTTTTCCATTTTTCCTCAATGAATTGAATGCAACAGATAATTTATCTTGTTGCCACTGGAAAAATAAAACCATAAAATATATACATTTATCATTATAAATATTTCTTGTGATTTAAGAAATTGTGTAAATATCAAACCCTATCTGATATACCTTTCATGAAAACATGCTTTGTGGGAGAGTTTTTCAGCACTGCATAATTTTCAGGTTTTGAGCTAATACATATTTATACAGAGCTTCAGTAAGTCAACCAGTATTTATGGAGAGCATAGAATATTTCAGGTATTGTGCTAGACACTAGGTGAAAAGAAAAGTTTCTAGTCCTCAAGAAGCTTTTGGGCTAACATAGATGGAACAGAAAGATCAAAAGAGAATAGCAATGAAAGGTCATAAACATTAAAGGTACATAAAATGGGTGATGTAAACACAAAGGAAGGACTCCTCAATCTTTCCTAGGAAATCAAAGAAAGCCGTACCACAAGCCTAAGTTGATCCTTGAGTGAAAGAGGAATTTGACAGCTCTACTGAGGTGGGGGCAGAGAGGAGGATTCTAGGTATGCATAAGGGTCCAGATTTGTACAAAAAACCCACATGTCCAGGAAACTACATGTGGTTCAATTGCTGGAAATCAAAGTGCAGAAGATGTAATAGTAGTAGGACATGAGCCCAGACAGGTTACATTATCTATCAGATTATGTTAAACAGTTTAAAATTTATCCTGTAGGCAATGAAGAGACTGGTTTTGGAATGGAAGACAGATAAAAAACTTGGGTTAAAAAGTTAACTCAGATAAGCTGGTAGAGCCAAGAAGCAGTCATTAATAGGCAAAGGACTAATATGTTTACGGAAACCATGTGATGAGAGATGCTGATGGCCTAAACTAGTATGAGGCTGCACAAGGATGTGCATGACAGATATGCAGGAGATGCTAACAACAAGACTTACAGACTATTTAGAAACAAGAGATGAAGAAGCTAGGGTCTAGGATGACTCAGAGTCTTCTGATTTAGGTAACTCAGAGGTACTGTATAGTGTCATTGGCTGAGATTATAAATAAAAGAATGAGGAGGAGGATTGACAGGAAAATTTCAATTTTGGACATGCTGACATTGAGGAATTTCCAGGTAGAGGTGTTCAACCACAGGCAGATATACTGGTTTAGAACCTAGAAGAAAAGTCTTGGATAGAGGTACAGATTTGAGATTTACTATCACATAGGTTGTAGCAGAATATTAACTCTTAGAGAACATTCCTTCAGAAAGAGGAAATGAGGAGCCAGCAACCATATATACTTGGGACAGTAACATTTCAAGACAGAGAAAAAACAGCCAATAGAAGGAAAGTGAAAAAAAGAACAATAAAAAGAGAATCAGGAGAATAGCAGTACCCCCAAGAAACAGGGTGCTCAAGGTCAAATGCCACAGAAAGGTCAAGTAAGATAAAGACTGGGGAAGTAGTCACTAGATTTAACAATCAGGAGGTCACTGATGACTTCTACCAGAGCAGTTCCAGTGTAAGGAAGGAAAGAGTGTGAAAATGTGTTCTCTTTTTCCCTCCTTCCCTCTTTTCCCCACTCCTTGGGCATGGGGAGTAGAGTGGGATCCACACTACAGTGGATTCAACTGGAGTAAAAGGGAGTTAATAAAGAGATATTGAACATGTATCACTTTTGCAGCTTGGAAGAGAAGCTGCAGCTAAGGGTAGAGATAATTATGAAAGGGGTTATTTTTAAAAAATAGAAGATAACATATATGTATATGTTGAGAAGAAAGAACCTGTGGAGAGGCTGGAGGTTATATAAGAGCAGAGGACCAACTGATGGAGTAAAGTTCTGGCAGTAGTAGGAATGGGCTCCACAGTGCTGAGAAGCACAGACCTGTCCCACTTGGTGTTAGAGCCCAGCACCCTTTGCCAGACAGTCCATCTATACCCATGCATACATGTTCACACACACACACACACACACACACACACACACACACACACACACACACACCCTAATATAAAATGATGTGTAGCTTTCATATTACTACTAATAAAGTGAGTATGGGATTAACCTTGGCCAATGCTTCCAACTGGGCTCTGAATCTCCTCTCTCATCTTTTCAAGGATCTAGCTATTGTTCCCTCTTTCTCTGGAATTATTCAGTCCTCTTTACTTGATCATTCCATCAGCATAAAAATATGCTATAATGTCCCATCTTTTAAAATCCTCCCTTGACCCATGTTTCTCTACTGTCTTTCCTATTACCTTTACCAGAGAGTGCCTTGAAGGACTTGCTTTCTTCACTGTCTCTGCTCCTAGGTTCTCTTGAACAGAGAAAGAAACTCTTTCGTTGATCACCCTTATACTTCAACAGTTCACCTTACGAGTTTAACACTCAATAGGACCAAATCCAATGGTCAATTCTTAGTCTTCATCTGCCCAGACCTATTAGAGCTGTTTACCACAGCTGACTACACCCTGCTCTCCCCACTTGGCTTAAAGGACATCACTCTGCCTCAGCTGTCCCAGCTCACTGGCGGCACCTTCTTGTTACTTTACTGGTTCCCCCTCATTTTCACAATCTCTAAATCACTCTCTCAACAGTTGTGACATCATCTCCAAGGAGATGAAAAATGGTTTCTGGGGGCCAAAAAAATCTCTTTTTCTGCGTAAGGCACAGATACATGGACACTCATATAGACTATCTGCAGTTAAAGTTCCATGCTGGAAATGATTAGGGGAAAAAAAATCTAAAAAGGCTGGATAAGGGTGATAATGAAAAACCGTTGAGAATCACTGGAGTATAATGGAGTGCCCCAGGCCCAAGTAATTGAACTTCTCACCCCCATCTGTACTCGCCTGGTAATCTCCTCCAGTCTCATGGCTTTTGATACCACCTACATGCTAACAATTTGCATTCCTAGCTTCATCCTAGACTTCTCCAAACTCCTATCCATCTACCCATCCAAAATCTAGATACCAGAATATCTAACCAGTGTCTCAAACAGAATATTCTCCAAGCCAAACTCCTGATTTCTAGCCACCCCTAACCCGATTCCCACGCTGCAAACCTGATGTTCCTAGTCTCTTTCCTCTTGGTAAACAGGAACTCTAGAGTTGCCCAAACTAGCTCTGCCCCAGCCACACAAGCCTCCTAAATGTACCTCAAAGAAACCAAATGACACCTTACCCCAAGGCCTTGGTGCTCACTGACTTCTCCAGCTGGGAAGATATGAACTGCTTGCCTATGTCTCTGCTCAAATGTCACTTTAAGTGAGGCTTTCTAATGTCTCTTCTTACCCTATTTTTCTTCACAGTGCTTGCTTCTATCTAACATATTTATTTTCTTCCTCCCCCAGCTACAGACTGTAAGCTCTAAGAGGTTATGGGCCTTGTTTTGTTTAGTGCCTGTTATACAGCGGACACTCAAATATTTGTTGGATGAATGAGTAAACCACAGTAAAGCCTTGTTTACTTACAATTATTAGTGATTTGAATTAATATGGATAGAGATCTTAATATGAATTAGTAATAACATTTGCTTAATTTTCCCAGTATGAAAAAGACTGTTAAACAACCAGTAACACAAAAATTTTATGGAAAACATTAAAAAATATTGTCTAATTCAGACAGTTGGCCACTCTTGCCCACAAATAACCATGAATTTTAAAGTTATAAAAGTAATAAGAGTAAGTGCTTACTAGGCATAGGAGATTCACTCTGATCACAAGTGTCAGCCACTAGAATTTCATTTTCATTAGGTTTATGCTGTGGATGAGTTGAAGACTTTGGAACTTTTTTCAATTCTAAGGGAAAAAAGAGAGATTACTTAAAAGCAATCATGATGAAAAATAGCAAAATAAAGTTTTGATAAACCAATATAAACCTATTTTTAAATGCATTAGAAGTGCTATTTTATTAATATAATTCTTGTATTCTAAGGAAACATTTAGTCCTGTAGTTTCAGTAAGAAACGAAGCTGGAAGTTAGGACAGCAGGAGAGAGATGACTAGAACAGATAAGCTGCTTCTGACCTAATTCTTCTAGAATTGCATTATTTTTATGTATCTTTTCCTTGTGTTTTTGTTGCAAATCAATAGGTTCATTTAAAATGGATATTTTATCATTTATCCCCACAATATTTGTTTTGGAGTTGGTGTTTTCTGGAAGAAACATATTTTGTTAGAAATCATTCCTTGTTTAAGGATTTAATTCAAAGAAAACCTTAAGAAGGACAAAGAGAAATACTTTCACAAATGTTAACTTGAAAATAATATTAAAAGCACTATAAACTTTAAAATAAACAAACAAGATTGGTTAAGAAAGAGATGAGGACTAAACCATTAACTCAGTTTTAAAATAATTTGTGTAGCTAAAAAGTGATATTTAAAACCAAAATTTCAGATGTCAAGTCAAAATGTTCACAGCAAGATAACACAAATTAAGCTTTTAAATAATTGAAGGTTATTTTCATACATTGAAGAAATAAACAAGAGCATTTATACTCTCTATAGAAATAGGTATACAAGAAAACTTTCCTAAGAGAATTGTTGTGATTTGTTTTTCTGTATATTCTTAAAGATGGATTTAAACAAGATCTAAATTATGCAGATGCTTATCTGTAGTGAGTCATGTCCTGCCTGATAGACTAAAAAAAGGCCAATAATAACCATTGAGCCACAAGCCTACATTTTATTCCAGCTCCTAACTATGCATAAGGTTCTTTTCTTTTTCTTTCTAACTACACATAAGATTCTTTTCTTTTTCTTTCTTCTTTTTTTTTTTAGGAGAGCAAGACAGAGGCTTTTATTTAGAGAGAAAGTGAGAGGACAGAGCTCGTTGGCTCAAGTCAGGAGGGGACAAGAGAGCCCCCTTTTAAACAGTTCTTTTGCTTTCCATTAGATGGCGATACAAGCTCATATAAAATGGGGGGGAAACTGTGCCCCAATTACTTAAATTTTTTAAAGGCATAACTACTGTCAACAATTTATTTGCATTATAAAAATCTCTCTAGGATTATGTGCACCCCTTCCCCCCAAAAGCTTTCACTGTTATGAACAGTTTAGGTTAAAAATGAGTCTTTATTAAAAGGAATAATCATTGCATCATGTCACTGACAAATTTCAGGGCTACCTGAAAAGGTAGTTTCAAACCATTCAGCAGAAATGGTAAACTGGCCTGGAATTAGAAATATGCCACTGATAAGCTACAAAGTAGACACATTATAAAGCCATTTCTTGGTTAACACCAAGAAATAGTAATATATCATATTTATTTATAAATAATACTTTATAATAAATTATAACAAATAAAAATAGCCAGTTAAAATTATTGGTGGGAGCAGCTATGGGTAAGACTGGGAAAGTGTATTTTTACAGCCAATAGATCTGTATTTCAATTTTGACTAATCAACTTACTTGACAGGTGTTCCTGAGTGAGTTATTAATGCTTCTGAAGAGGATATCTTTCCTCGTCTATAAAATGAAGGTGCTAATAGCTACCTCATAAGCCTGGCATTAGAATTAAAATATAGAATAATGTATTCAAATCACTCAGCATGCCTGGCACACAGGTGATGAAAATTTATGCTAAGTTCCTTTCCTCTTTCCTTTTGTCTCACTCAGATATATATTTTTATATTCCCTATAATATATATTACTTCCCAGGAATATTTTTAAAAGGAAAAGAAACTATTCACTCCATTTATACATAGTCAGATAAACAGTGCATGTCTGTACACAATACAGGCAGAAAATGTCTTTCCAGCCACTTTACTTACAAAAATTAAACTTAATAGTTGTAATTTAATTTACTTGAACAATGACCCTTCATTCCACTAGACTGAATAACCTAAAACTAACAATAGACGAGGAATACTTTTGTTTTTACAAAACCAGGTAGCTACAACACAATTCCAGTCCTTACCATCTGTACACATGGAGTGGTCTGGTTTAGCATGTGCTTGTTCCAAGTATCGGACATGGAGGTTCTCCTTTCTTCGTAGTCGGCTGACGCCAGAAAATGAAAAGGCTGTAATTGGTGAATCTGGAATAACATTCTCATCAGATTCAAGATCAGCTGCTTGATGTTGTTGATCATTCCTAGACGAAATAATGACAAATGAAAATTAATTCAACGAATATTTATTTAAAAATCTACTATATAGTAGAGTATGTAGCTACAGCACAGGCATGAAGTTGTGAGATGTAATTCCTTGCAATTAATGTTCTAAATCTAAATACAAGGATTAGAAAAGTACTGAAATGATTAGATGTAGCAAGTAGGAAATACTACTTTGAGAAGTGAAGCACAAAGTGCAGCTGGTGGTACTGGAGGTGAAATTAAAAGAATTTCAAATGGCAGAGAAAATCAGCAGAGGATCCACAGTGTTTGAGTAAAAATGTAGTATTGTATACTTATTTTAGAGATGGGCAAGCCCGAACTGCACAGAGGAGTCTTGATTAAGTATGCATGTAATTTTAGAAAGTAAGAGGAAAGAGATTTAGGTTTTAGAACATGGATACAATGTGACCATCTAGCAGCAAGAATGTGCATGACTGACTGGGAAGGAAAGAAAGAAGGCAAGGAATCAGTTAGTGGCTACAATAGGCCAGGCAAAAGAGCACCTGTGGATTTGAACTAGAGTGTTGAAAATAAGTATGATAGGGAAGGGACCAACGCTAAACGCTGTGGTAGTAGAGTTAATATGACTTGCAATGGGCAAATATATGGTGGTTAAGTAATAGTAACACTTATAACTACCACCATTTGTTGTGGCTTTACACTGCCAGGCACTGTTCAAAGTGCTACATGTATTAGTTTAATTACTGCAATTGTATAAAGTATTATTAATAAAAGAAGTTAAGTCACTAATATAGTGACAACCAGGATCTAAATGCAGCAGCGAGATCCCCAGGACAATACCGTTAAGCACTCAACAAGTGTTATCCTTAGCCCAGACCAGGAGACTAATGACTGATTACAAACAGGATTCAAACGTGGAATTTCTACCACTGCTTTTATCCAGACACCTTTACAGTCACTATCAACACATCAGTCAGAACAATCCTGTTAAGACTTAAGTCACATTCCTCTGCCTAAAACCTGCCACATCTCCCCATTTCATTGAAAACAAAAGCTAGCGTCCCTTTAATGATTCACAAGGTCCTACATGATCAGACCGTCCCCTTCCCATATTATTTCTCCCACCTCTTTTTATTTTGTAATCTACTCCAGCCACCCTTACTTTACTGAGTTTCCTCAAATGTACCAGGTGTATTCTGACCTCAGGTTCTTTGCTCTAAGTATTGAATCTGCTTGGAGTGCTCATTGCCACATATCACATGGTAATTACCTCATCTCCTTCAAGTCTTTGAGTTGGATTTTCTCATCAAAGCCTATCTTGAACATGTTATTTAAAATTGCAACCCCCTTCCCACATCCTAGTACTCCTGTTCCTTGTTATTCTGCACTGTTTGCTTTATCCATAGCATTTACTGCTTTCTAACAGTATATAATTGATTTGTCTATTGTTCACTTGCCAGGATGGAAGCTCTAAGAGGATAAGGATCTTCGGTTCATTGATGCATCACAAGTGTCTACAATAGTAGGCACTTGGTATGTACTCAACAACTATTTCTTGAATGAATGAACATGAGAGAGTCCCAGATGTCACTTGAAGAATAAATTTGTGCTGACCTAGGCATATGTTCTTCCCCAACTCAATTCAGGACCAGTGGCACTTCTTTTAATTTGGTTTGGATTGAAATGTGGTTACTGAGTAAAATAAAGTTAACTTTAACCCAACTGACTTTCCCATGTCAAATGATTACTGACCTTATTTGCCAACTAATTCTTACGAGTCAATCAGGCATGTAGGCTTTATGTAACAAAACCAGTCTGTCCTATTACACTCATCTCAATTTGTAATACTATTTCCAAAGAAAAATATGAGAATTTATAAACTATGAAGAACAGAGATTTTTAAAAAATTAAAAGGCCCAAAGATAATTTTTTCCTAACAGAGATTAAATCTTAACTTCCTGGATAATATCAATATTACTTGTGGTCTATACCTAATATTCACAACTGAGGAAAATCTTTAGAGCTAATACCTAATTTTTAATTTCTCCTTATAATTCTACTGTCTTACTCCAGAAAAACATAAGCTAAGGTCATATGAAAAAGCCTTATAAATTAATGGAGTGTGAAATCTATCTGACCTTGCTTTTAACTATCACGTCACAGACTTCCCTACCTATTAGTCATAAAAATTCAACCTGAAACATGAATAAGTCACGAGAAGAAACTGATTTCCTGGCAGAGTCAATCTAGAAGTGGCTAGAGTTACAAAATGGAAAAAAAAAAAAATCGCCACAAAACAAAACAAAATTAGCTATAACTAAAGTTATTCAAATTAAGTATACTAGTGCTGGCTTTGTCCTCCTTTCTCCTTCTTAGTCATAAAGGGGGAAAAAAAACCAATTTCCATATGTTAACCAAATTTCTTCTTTAAAGCATTAGGTCTCACTGTGATTTTCTAGAAGTTAGAAATTCATGGCACAACTTTCAGTTAATTGTGCACACAGGAGGAAGAAGTTCTCAAGGTCTGAGATGTGTGTAAGAAGTATTTATTCAGATTATTTTCATGAAACTTTTGGGACAGGGCTGGAAGGGAAGTAACAAAACTCAAATATTTATTTAAAATATAAATATTTCAAATATTTGAATAACTATAATAATTATAAAAACTAAAATGCTTTAAATTAAAATTTTATACTACTTTATATATTCACAGAGATGCATGTGCTCTTCATATATATTCCCTAAACACAAAAATATACTGATTTTCTTTATACTTTTTATTGCAGAAAATTTTATAATTTTTAAAAATGAAATCTGCAATTTTAATATATCTTTACAGTTTGTATGGCTAAATAAAACAAAGGAAAGTGTCCAATTTTCTGTTGCAATTAAGGAACAATACTTACTCAATTTTCTGCTGCAGCTGTTCAGAAAGCTTTTTATTTTCTTCCTGTAGAGTATTCTTTTCATTCACTTAAATGTAAAGTAAAAAAGGAGCACATGTTATAGCTATATCAACATGTATGTCAAGTATTTTCAATGTCAACAGTTATGCAGAAATTAGAACTTTCTAAGTCTTAATGTTAGTCAAGGTTAATGCTTCTGTGCAAAACTAATTTGTTACTAGGTGGTGTTTACTACATCTCATATTGTGCCAGTTCCATGTAACTGATTAACTGGCAATTAAATATAATGCTTGTGGGAAAAAAAGAGTACCTCACATAAGAGGGAGTATGGTCTAACTATTCAAACTGAGGACAAGAGTGTATTCCATCTGGTCACTCAGTCTTACTAAATTTCAAGTATCATTTTAGTCTTTTATTGTGGATATATGATCATAAAAGTAACATAACACTGAATACGGTGTAATTTTATAACATAAATACACTTAGTCAAATTCTCTTCTTTAATCATACTGTGTTTCATGAATAATTAGGGCATCAGTAATTTAAATATATCTATTAAAGTAGTCTGTTTGCTTTAAACCATCTCATCTAAATTTTTGTATCCATCCTTTAATTTATAAAGCAAAACCTCAATTTTGCTGCAGCTGGCACAAAATTATCATCAATCCTTAGCGTGATATCACTGGTTAAGCACGTGTTTACCAGGAGGAATATATCTAAGAGATTAAGTCATAGTAAATGCAATTAACCTCTACCAAAAAAAGTTAATCATATTCCAAAAATTTGTTAATAATTTAGTGGTTTACAAAAACCTAAACATATTTCTTAGACTAAGTAAAAATTTGACTGTAATATATGAGGTTTAGTAAAACCATCTCCATGGACAGTGACCCATTGTAATGAGACAAGATTACTACATAAACATGCTTCACACAAATGAAAGTGACAAGGGCATAAGAGAGGTACAGATAAAGTACTAGAGGAAATCCCAAGGAGAAGAAGGTTACTTTTGCACCCTTGAGAAGATCAGGAAAAGATTCATCAAAGAGAGGACAACTGAGCTAGACAGGTGACTTTTCTCTGCAGAGAAGTAATGGAACAAAGCTAGAAAGACTGGGTATAATTAATGGTAGGAAGCCTCAAGTCAGGTCTTGGGCTAATGTGGAAGGAGCAGAAATAGGAAGTGAGGACAGGGAGAAAAGAGCTGTTAACAGAGGCAGCATTAGTAGTTACTTGGCAACTCACTCTTTCTAGAGCAAGAGAAGTCAAAAGATGACCTTAGCTTTCTGATTAAGATGGCTTACTTGCCCCTCCCTCTCCAAATCTTAATTAAATGGGGAAAAAAAGACTCTAAAAATAAGTCAATTACAATATAGAAAAGCCAGAAAGCGTACCACTAGCAGATCAGAACTATGAGAAATTCTTGAATGATTTTAAAAAATAGATTGGCTCAGACTGAAGGTAAAATCTAACAAAAAAAGGGCCATGAAAAGGAATGCTGCCTTATTCCTTAACATGGTTTTTTCCTTGTTTGGAGTTTTTGGCTATTTTTCAGCCAGTTAAAAGGAAATCTGACTATTAGATATGAAGACATTATGGAAGATATTTCTAGTACTAATGCTGACTTAACTGTGGATCTCAACTGATTTTATAAGTTATACATAGTAGTTTTCTACTTACCGGTAATATTCTTATGTTCCTAAGCAAACGCATGCATGCATTCACACAAAAACACCATAGAATCTATACACCTAAGTATATTAACATGGAAACACTTCTAAGACATAGTCTAAAATGAAAAAATACATGTCATAACAAGAAGTATGATCCCATTAAAATTTAAGAGAGAGAAAGGAGGGGATAAAATGAGAGAAAGAGACAGGCAGAAAGACAGACAATCCAAGACCTAGAAAGATACACATCAGTATCTTTCTGACTGTTAATAGTAGTTACTGCTGGGAGCAGATAAAACTGTGTTCTTTCTATCCCTTTTAAAAATGAGTATTTACTAATATATTCTTGCTTGAATAGCCAGAGGATAGCAATATAATTAGTAGAAAAAAATAAATTCAGAGGATGGACTTAGTTTGGAAAAGAAAATGAATTAGATCTGGACATGTTGAGATTTGGACATGTTGACCGTGAGGTGCTTATAATGAGACCAGGTACAGGTCACTGAGAGAGTATATAATTAAAAGACAAGAAGACTAAGTGAACTATTAGAAAGGAAAAAGGGCTAAGAATGCAAGAAAACCCTACATTAAATGGGGAAGAATACTAAAAACTGAAAATTGAATACTTTTAATAGTATGTTTTGAAAACCAAAAAAAGTATAGACCTTTGCAGAACACTGTGCTTTAACTTGACTACACAGTCAAATTCAATGAAATAAAGATAAAACCAAAATAAGCAAATGTGGACACAAAAGGAAATTTGCTTCTTGTCTTATAGCTGATGACACTGTAATGCCAATGTGAACAGTATTTACACAACTCTTTTGTACCCTACTTCTTAGGAATATAAACATAAGATTAAATCTACAAAAAGGGAAAAAAGGACATTTGAACTTTTGTCTAAATAAGGAAAAATACATGGAAATGATACATTTGATTGCAACCAACTTAATAATAGGTTTTAACAACAGTATATTATGCTTTAAATCTTTAATAATGGAGGAAAGGAAACTCACTAAGCTCTGTGATGAGTTTAAGATTCTGCTGCCGGATATTTTCAAACTCTTGCTGTTTTTTCCGCATATGTTCTTCAGTTACTGCACAGCGATCACATAATCCTGCTCTTAATCTGTGAGACAGAAGCAAGATATTTTAAGAGTAGACCTTAAATGGTGTCACCAATAAATAAATAAATAAGAGAGGTGATGGATGTTTTGATTAACTAGGTGGTGTGAATCCTTTTGCAATGTACACTTTATTTTATAATTTTGTCAATTATATTTTAATAAAGCTGAAATCTAGAAAACACCAAAAAACCAAAATATTTTTCAATTACTGAAAGATGTTTCCTTATATTTGAGGTCTAAGATTTTTATACTTTATGTAGATCTCAAGAACTGACTTGGCATAGCCAAAGCAATCCTGAGAAGGAAGAATAAAGTGAGGGGATTATGCTCCCTGACTTCAAGCTCTACTACAAAGTCACAGTAATCAAGACAATTTGGTACTGGCACAAGAACAGAGGCACAATCAGTGGAAGAGAATAGAGTCTCCAGACATTAACCCAAACATATATAGTCAATTAATACACAATAAAGGGAGCCATGGACATACAATGGGGAAATGACAGCCTCTTCAACAACTGGTGTTGGCAAAAGTGGACAGCTACATGCAAGAGAATGAAACTGGATTATTGTCTAACCCATACACAAAAGTAAACTCGAAATGGATCAAAGACCCGAATGTAAGTCATGAAACCATAAACTCTTAGAAGAAAACATAGGCAAAAATCTCTTGAATATAAACATGACCAACTTTTCCTGAATGCATCTCCTTGGGCAAAAGGAAACAAATAAAAAATGAACAAATGTGACTATATCAAGCTAAAAAGCTTCTGTACAGCAAAGGACACCATCAGCAGAACAAAAAGGCATCCTACAGTATGGGAAAATATGTTTGTAAATAACATATCCAACAAGGGGTTAACATCCAAAATATATAAAGAACTCACACACCTCAACACCCAAAAAGCAAATAACTGTATTAAAAAATGGGCAGAGGATCTGAACAGACACTTTTCCAAAGAAGAAATATCATTTTCAACAGACTGCATTTCTGAGTAAAATTCTGTGAAAATCTACTAATTTAAAACTCTATCCCATGGAACTTAGTCATTGAAGAAACTGACCTTGTCTTAATTTATAGCCAAAATATGAATTCCAGTCCAGCACCAAGGGGCAGTATTATATTTTAAGCAAGTTGGAATCTGCTTTGCTCAACATAGGATATAACATATAATTCAACTTTTTTACTTGAATGAATACTAAATGGCAAAAAATACAAAACTTTCTAAAAGTTTTGTCATATTTTGCTCTTCTTAGCATTAAAAAACCCCCAATGTTAGTAAAAATTCACAATGTATTATTATGTAAAAAGAAAAAAAGATGATAAAATAGCTTTCACTAATTATTTGTGAGTACTAAAGGTAAGAGGGAAATACATATATTGTACATGAGGAAGGGGATGGTGGTGGAGAGAAAGGTATACCCCAAAATATTGTGAACAGTTAATAACAGGGACCAGAATTACAGAAGATTTTCTTTTTAGTGTATTTTCAAAATTTCTCTAATTTCATTATTTATATAATCAGGAAATGATATGGTTGAAAAAACAGACTCATATTTCACATTAGGAATTTAGAAAATATACTCTAAAATTTTTAACTCAATTTAAGTCAGTAAGATAATAAGTATTTAAATGTGTATCGAAGTCATAACACTGTAGTATATATGCCCCAAGTTTTAAAATAAGCTAAGGAGATAAAACATGAAAATTGTACAACTAAAATAAAGGACTGTAGAGAATTTTATATAAAAGTATAAATCATATCAACAGTGTTGATATGGATGTGAAAAATAAAGATTAGAACTTACAGGTTGCATTAATAGAATCAGAGCTTCTAGCATGTAGGAATAAACAACTGGGCATCATGGTTTAATTGGAGTACATTTTGAAGACAGGAATTAGGATGATCAAGATCTTTGAAATCATATTGTAAGATGAACAACATCTAAGTAAGGATGACAAATTGAACATTTGCATCTGTTTATGCTCCCTTTCCAAATACCACAAAACTACATAAAGACAGTTGTACATTTTTAAAGACACAAATCCATAAGGACAGGGAGAGTAGGAGAGAAAGCAAAAAACCTAAACAACAAAAAATGAAAGCAAGGCAACTGGACAAACAGAAGCAGACCAGAGCAAGCTGAATCCTCAGCCAACAGTGGGCAAAGTCTCCAACGGTGTTGTGCATTATTGTTGCCACTGTCGAGTTTCTCAGTTACACACATGTGTGTGACAGCCACATGCATCTTGTCACAGCCATAATGCACAGTGCAGATACAGCATATTTCCATTATCACAGCAAATTTTACTAGACAGCACTTGAAAGGAAAGGAGCGACACACCGCAGCAATTCACTGGAGAATTCCGCTTTATTAGGGAAAGGTGCTGGGTTATATAGGAAGGGGCATGGGGTGATTGTGGTGTTACTTCTATGGGGCTGGTGGCTATTGGCTAGGTGCTGGGATTGGGAGGGGGGGCGAGAGGTGATAGGGCTTCAGGTGGCGCAGGCAGGAACCTAGGACCCCGAAGAGAAGCTGGAAGTTATCACTGAGAGAGTATATAATTAAAAGACAAGAAGACTAAGTGAACTATTAGAAAGGAAAAAGGGCTAAGAATGCAAGAAAACCCTACATTAAATGGGGAAGAATACTAAAAACTGAAAATTGAATACTTTTAATAGTATGTTTTGAAAACCAAAAAAAGTATAGACCTTTGCAGAACACTGTGCTTTAACTTGACTACACAGTCAAATTCAATGAAATAAAGATAAAACCAAAATAAGCAAATGTGGACACAAAAGGAAATTTGCTTCTTGTCTTATAGCTGACGACACTGTAATGCCAATGTGAACAGTATTTACACAACTCTTTTGTACCCTACTTCTTAGGAATATAAACATAAGATTAAATCTACAAAAAGGGAAAAAAGGACATTTGAACTTTTGTCTAAATAAGGAAAAATACATGGAAATGATACATTTGATTGCAACCAACTTAATAATAGGTTTTAACAACAGTATATTATGCTTTAAATCTTTAATAATGGAGGAAAGGAAACTCACTAAGCTCTGTGATGAGTTTAAGATTCTGCTGCCGGATATTTTCAAACTCTTGCTGTTTTTTCCGCATATGTTCTTCAGTTACTGCACAGCGATCACATAATCCTGCTCTTAATCTGTGAGACAGAAGCAAGATATTTTAAGAGTAGACCTTAAATGGTGTCACCAATAAATAAATAAATAAGAGAGGTGATGGATGTTTTGATTAACTAGGTGGTGTGAATCCTTTTGCAATGTACACTTTATTTTATAATTTTGTCAATTATATTTTAATAAAGCTGAAATCTAGAAAACACCAAAAAACCAAAATATTTTTCAATTACTGAAAGATGTTTCCTTATATTTGAGGTCTAAGATTTTTATACTTTATGTAGATCTCAAGAACTGACTTGGCATAGCCAAAGCAATCCTGAGAAGGAAGAATAAAGTGAGGGGATTATGCTCCCTGACTTCAAGCTCTACTACAAAGTCACAGTAATCAAGACAATTTGGTACTGGCACAAGAACAGAGGCACAATCAGTGGAAGAGAATAGAGTCTCCAGACATTAACCCAAACATATATAGTCAATTAATACACAATAAAGGGAGCCATGGACATACAATGGGGAAATGACAGCCTCTTCAACAACTGGTGTTGGCAAAAGTGGACAGCTACATGCAAGAGAATGAAACTGGATTATTGTCTAACCCATACACAAAAGTAAACTCGAAATGGATCAAAGACCCGAATGTAAGTCATGAAACCATAAACTCTTAGAAGAAAACATAGGCAAAAATCTCTTGAATATAAACATGACCAACTTTTCCTGAATGCATCTCCTTGGGCAAAAGGAAACAAATAAAAAATGAACAAATGTGACTATATCAAGCTAAAAAGCTTCTGTACAGCAAAGGACACCATCAGCAGAACAAAAAGGCATCCTACAGTATGGGAAAATATGTTTGTAAATAACATATCCAACAAGGGGTTAACATCCAAAATATATAAAGAACTCACAC